TCTTTCCCTCCCAGCAGCGAGAAGGAGCAGTAAGTACCTCACTTGCTTTTTTTCCTTCTCTTTTTGGCTTATTGCTTTTCACCTGCTACTTCAATGGTCTTGAGAGACCAGGGAAAAGCTTGTCCTGCATGCAAGAAAAAAGCAAGTAACCCTGGGAAGTGCTGTATGGGGTTTTCATGCATTTTAATGTTTAAGACAGGGCTGGTCTGCTCAGCCTCGGTGGAAAAGGAAAGCTAAGCAGAAAGATGTGTTAAAGCTGCCTGATGTCCAGGCTCTTCTCACTGTGTGAAGGGATCTTTGGAAAGGAGGTTAGGAGAGGAGAACACCCATATTTGAGGAAATGTACTAAAAAACTTACCTGCTCCAGCAGCCACTATCCTGGCACAGGTTGCTGGGAGAGCTGGTGTCACACGGCAGAGAGCAGGACATGAAGTTAACCACATCAGTTGATGCTCAACATGGAAATAATGAGGATGTTTTTGAGAGGAAATGGGCTGTCTCTGTATGGAACTAGTGGTTCCATATGAAACCCCCTAAAAAATGGAAAGAAGAGCTTTGACCTGGTGGGTGGGGGCCATTTACAGACTAGACAAGGTGTGTGGAGATGTGTCATGCCCTCTCTTCCCTGGCTTAGGAATGGGTGCCAGGCTATTGCCCACACATGAGTGTGCATGCACACACACGTGCACACGTGTGAGCTGTGGAGGAAGCCCTGACCCCCCCCTCCCTCCCTGCAGGCTCCCCCAGGGCTGGGCAGCACGGGGCAGCCAACCCGAGCGGCAGCGCAAGAGTGTGGAGCTGACGGATGAGGAGAAGGAGATCATCAACAGGGTCATTGCCCGGGCTGAGAAGATGGAGGAGATGGAGCAGGAACGCATCGGGTGAGGCACTGGGAGGGCCTGGGGCTGGCTGGGAAGGCACCAGTTGGGCTGCTCTTCTGGGCAGCAGCCTCTGCACTGCAGCATTTCTGCTGCTCAGGAGCCTGCAGGGATCGTTTTGAGCCGGTGTTGGTCCTTGGCCAGGAGGAACCTGTGAGCAGGGGATGGAGCCTCTCACCTCTGGAGCAGGAGTTAATATTTTCATTGATTACATTTTTAAATTTTTTTATTTTTTTTTTGAGCCCAGAAGGATCATTAATAACACCACATTTGGTGAAGCTGCTTGCCCAGGCCTGAGCATGAGCACCCCTGAGCGTGGGCAAGGCCACGGCTCACCCGAGGCATTTTGTCTTGTTTTGGGAACACAGATGGATCCATCACCCCCTCCAGCCATGTGTCCAGGTGGATGATCCATCCTGTCACCCAGAAATGAGCTGTGTGTGGAGATGAGTGGGTCTGAGTGATTCTTAGCCTTAGAAATATTCTCCTGCTTTCCATTTCCATGGCTTGGGACCAGCTCCCAGGGGCTGGCGCTGCTCCCAGCTGCAGCCCAGGGGGACATCCCTGGTGCTCATGCACCTGCTGTGGAGCAGAGGGCAAGAAGTGCCCACGTTTGCTTTCCCTGCATGTCTCCCCTGCCTGGGCAAAGGTGCCAGGCAAAGTAATGCCCATGATGAGGTATGTGGATGTGCTCTGCTGGGGGTGGTTTCAGAGGGGCTCTCTATTTGTCAGGCATCACACCTCTTTTCATTACAGAGGAGCATTTTATTCTTGCTGAGCTTAAGCATCAACTGGTTTGTTTTTTTGTACTTTTCTCCCCCCTGCAAGGGAAGTGGTCAGGCCCAGGCAGGATCCATGCTTTTTGCTGCTTCAGAGAACCTCAAATCCCCTTTTTCTCCTCAATCCTAAAATAGGGAGGGTGCGTTTGCGATGTGCAAGCACAGGCTGCTCCAGCTGCCACATGCAGCCTCCTCTGTGGCTCCTGAGGGCTGGCTTTACTTACTTGAGATTTGAGATCCCTCAATAGGAGTGGCCCTGTGAGGACCTCAGGCACTGCCCAGGGCTTGGTGTGTGCCCCAGGGACGTGCTGGCTCCCGCTGGCACGATGAGGTGCAGCACTTTGCTGCCTTCCTGGCAGGAACCAGGTGCCAGGAGCTGTGAATGGGAGTGATTCATTCCCAAAAAAAGTGCTTACAAACAGCCTTTCCCTGCCTGTGCCCATTTGCAGCCTGGGAAGAATGACTCTCAGATGTTGAGGCTCTTTGGATTAAATCAACTTTAGCAGGGAGGGAGGGAGAGATGCTGTATTTTCTGCACGGTGCCTTCCTGCAGCTGCTCGTGCACCTGCCAGAACCCCCCCCTTCCCTTCCCTGCGTGAGTTGGGGGTGGTTTTCTCATCCTCATTCATGAAGAAGCTGGGCAGAGGGCTCTGCCTCCTGCGTGTGGGCGCAGCAGCAGCCGCGCCAGCTCCTCTGGGCTCGTTGCCTCATCCAACAGGAGCTGGAGGAGGTGAAGCTCCAGGGCTGTGGGCCAGAGCCTGGGTCGGGCTGGTGCAGTGTTGCCCACTTGGGATGCAGCTGGGATGTTATCCAGGATAGCTCCTTGGGTTACACAAGACTCTGGGTTTGCCAGGCTGGCCTCTGGCAGTGGCTGGTGCTGTTCCCTCGGTCCCACAGGCTGCTGGGAAGAGGAAAAGCCTGATTTTCTGCAATTTTCTATTCCTGGAAGGGGGGAAAAGGAAGATCTGTTAAAATCCTGGTTTCGGTTAATATGAGGAATAGCTGACATGAGTTAATGTGCCTTACAAAGGGGGGATGTGAGGGAAATACTTGGTATTATCTTCAGAAGTGGATGTGTATTGAGAGGTGCATTTGAGATTTACCTACATTTGAGCTCTTGGAGTGAGTCCAGAGGAGGCCATGGAGATGATCCAAGGGCTGAAACCCTTCTGTTCTAGAGACTGAGAGAGTTGGGGCTGTTCAGCCTGGAGAAGAGAAGGCTGTGGGGAGACCTTAGAGCACCTTCCAGTGCCTGAAAAGCTGTGGCTGACTCATCCCTGGCAGTGTTGAAGGGCAGGTTGGATGGGGCTTGGAGCAGCCTGGGCTGGTGGGAGTTGTCCCTGCCCATGCAGGGGGGTTGGGGTTGTGTGGTCCCTTCCACTCCAAACCAATTTGTGATTTTGGGTGCAAATGGGCCTCCTCCTGTCTTGAAGTCCCTCCTGATCTAGTGCCCATTCATCTCATGCCCTCTAGTGTCCCCTTTCCTGCACCTGCCCTGTCATAAGCCCCTTTCCTTGGCTGAGGGTGAGAACAAATCAATGGTGCTTGTTGAGAAAATGTTGGTGGAATCAGGCTTCATGTCAAACCCAGCTCAAATTAATCTAGCAAAAGAGTATTTTTAGCACTGGAGGTGGATGGAGGCCCGTGGGAGACGTGATCTGGATGCTGATGAGGATTGGAGGACAGGGACATTTTGGTGTGTAGGGGGTTTGCTGTTGTGTTTTGGGTTGGTTTTTTTTGGGCTGGGTCATTGTCTCATATCACAGAGAAGTGAAATAGGAGCTGAAATAATCTTAAACAGTGATGCAGAGGCAGTGTTGCTGGATGGGAGGTGGGGAAGGACTTCACAGCTGCCTGGAGATTGGGATCATCCTTTGGGCCAGTTCAGAGACATGGATGGAGAGCTGGTGGGCAGGGGGATGGCAGGAAAAATGGCTTTGCAGCAATGTGTCTGTTCTCCTCCCTTCTCTCTGCTTGGCCTGGGCTGGTGCTCAGGGGTCCCTGCTCTGTGCTGTTTTGGGGGGTGATGCCCCAGTGCTGCTGCTGCTCTGGCTGTGGTCTGTGAGGAGCTGTTTCCTCCCCGCTGGCCCAGGAGCTCCTGCAGACACTAATTGGCTCCGTTACACGCTGATAATTGGGTGCCATCAATAACCCACTGAGTCTGCTCTGCTGCCTAATGAGGTCCAGCATGTTCTCAGCAGCGAGGAAAATATCTTAAACCACTCAAAGTTAGAAATCCCTGGGTTTGGAGAGTGCCTTGAGGCACAGAGCTGGTTCTGCCAGGGGTGAGTGACACGTGGCACCTGGATCTGGCAGTGCCCCTGTCTGGGTGCAGCTACTCCCCTCTAAAGTTTAGCGTGATGTCTCCCCACGGGTCCCAGCCCATCACCTTTCCTCCAAGGGGATCAGCTACCAAACAGGATTGCATTTTAATTTGGCTGCTCATTGCTGGGCTGACACATGCATAATGCTGGAGCAGATGGCTGAAGTCACAGGGGATTAAGTCATTAACCTCGGTGCCCAGCAGCAGAGATGCTCTCTGGGGACCACGCTCTCAGATTTTCTTCCTCGTGTTCAGACAACAGGAAAATAAAAATAGGGGCTGGGAAGGACAAGGTGGGTGCTGGAGGCAGACAGCAATGTCTCCTGAGGTGCCACCTTCTAGAAGAGCTGAGGTCAATGCAGGGCCAGAAGATTGTGCTGCTTGAATTTGTGAGTGGTTTGGGGTTTTTTCCTAAAATAGAAAACCCTCTTTTCTCATTTCTGTGACTGGCGTGAACCTGCAGAACAACCACCTTGCTGTGCCCCCTCCCAGGAGGGAAGGAGCAGCTGAGGTGATGCAACAGCAGCAAACAGGACACTTTGACATGTCTGAATGCCCCTGGCCTCCTGGGGCACCCTCCTCCACCTTGGGGACCCTCAGCAGGCAACAAGCCTTGAGGGTTGACCTGTAGAAGCTCAAACGATGCTTCAGCTCTTGTTACCTGTGCACTCGTAAGGGAAGAAAATAACTTCTAATTTTCCCTTCTGATTTTAATTGTTTTCTTTAATCTCTAGCTTGACTGCTTTTCTTGACTCTTTTATGCCATTAAAATTAGCCTTAATTTAATATTCAGCCCTTTAAGGCACATGATTTCCCCACGGAGACAAGTCAGTGCTTCATTCTGGAGGCAGTTGGTGACCTCCTTTGCCTCTCACTTTACTGCTTTTGCCACGTAAGTGGTGGCTGAGTCTGTCCCCACACGAGGCTGGGAAGGACCTGGTGCCCTGGATCGAGCCCTTCCTCACCAGTCAGGTCCTTCTCCCATCTCTGCTGCATTAAGTGTCCTCCCCACAGTGGTTTCAAACCCATTAGGCCTGTTTTAGCCCTTCCTTTCTGCAGAGCAGAGATGAATATTTAAACAGGACAAGCTCCTGTCTCTGCCCCACCTTTAATCTCCTGAGCGGGGTCTCTCTGTCCCTCTTGGAATTGCTCTGGCCCCAGAGCAGGGGAAGATGTCAATTCCCTGTGGATTTCTGCCCCGTCTAGGTTTCAGCCCAGCTGGTGGATGGTCCCTCAGCCCAGCTTTGCTGCATCCTCCACGGGACCATCCACCAGCCTGAAATCCCAGGAGATGTTTCTAGGTCTTCCTTGGAGCACCAGCCCTGCCCTGGGGCTGCTCCCCTTTCTCTTCCAAACCACCTTTCCAGGGCCAGGCAGGTGTTGTGTTACCAGGGGGTTGTTTTATTGGTGCTACCACCTCAGGTGCATGTGAAACATTTTGGATCCAGCACATTGCTCAGTCCTTCTCCCTCTCTCCCATCAGTCACCAACAGGTATTTCTCTGGACACTCTCTCCAGGAGCAGTGATGCTCCTGATTGCAGAGCTTAGCAGCTTTGATCACTCCTCTCTTGGTGGGTTTTTTCCCCCATTTTAACAATTTGAAGCAGATTTCCTCCTCTTTGAAGTCAGTTTGCAGAGGCTGGAGGGACAGGCACTTTGAAGTGTTCATAATGGTGAGGAAGATATTGTTGCCCTAGAGACATGCAAGGGAGAGGGATTAATTGAGTGGCTGTTTTATGAGCAATAAAAAGGAGACAAATCACATCTAGGGGTGAGAAAAGCTTTTGGGAAGGCAGAAAGCTTGTTCCTGGCTGCTTCCTGGGCAAGAGCAGGGCCTTGGTGGGGCTCCAGCACGTGTGCAGTGGGATGCTGGATGAGGTTGAAGAGACACTTGGGCAGTTTGCTCCCAGTTGTCACATAAATCCAGATGTTCCAGCCAGCAGGGCTCAGTGTGGTCGCCCCTCACCCAGGTCTTGTTGCCATGTTCACACCAGGACTTGAAGTTTAACCTCTACATAGTCCTCTTCTGGCAGCATTTGAACTGGGGGGAAATAGCCTGATTTCTCCAGCTTGAATGGATGTTTTAATTAGGGAAATGGGCTTTGTTTGGAACTGGAGCCACAGGTGTGAGCACTGGCTGCTGAAGCTCTGCCACTGCTTAAAAACAAATCCACTTAAGGAGCTGCTGCTGGTAAATAAGAGGCTGGGAAAGATTTTGCAGCTCAATAATGAATCTCTTGAAATGCAAAGGCTTGTGTTGTTTTTTCCCCTTTGATTGTGCCATTTGTTCTAGTTTCTATAATAAGTTTGTTTGGGCTTGCAGATTTCCAACTGGAAGCTGCTTCTCTCAGAGCAGAGCTCTTGTAGCACAGCAAGGGGAACTGGTAGGAGATACAGGGCTTGTACATGTGCTTTGCTGCTCAGAAAAGGCAGATTCTTTCCCCCAAAATGTGGAGGTGGGAGCAACATGCTGCAGGAGAAGCTGGATGTTGATGGTTATTTGCTGTCAGGGGCTTTTTAATGGGGACCCTGCATTGATGTGGGCTGGGAACAACTGTGGTGGGATTCATTTCAGGAAGCAACATCTGGGGAACAGCCAGTTTCCAGGTTTTAATTGGGATATTGGGCATTGCTGGCCGGGCCTTTCTGGGATGATGGAATCCCTGGGACTTGCAGGGGGGTGGATCAGCACCAAAGGCAGAGCAGAGCTTGTGCAGCCTATG